AATTCTTAAAAAAAGTGTAATATTTTAATTTTTAATAAAAATCTTTTCATAGATCAAATCATTTTTTAAAATGAAGGAATAAAATTAAAAAAATAATTTATTTTAAGACAATTTTATGATTCTAACTTACTTGATTATATTTTAGTGAGTTAGTTGAAAATGATTTATAAAAAAAATGGAGAAAGTACAAATTAGTGTTTTAGGACTTGGATCGATCAAGACTGTTAAACCATCACTAGGATACAAATTAAAAGTGTGGCTTGATTTGACTTGTTAATTCGTTTTGGTCTTTTGGAGAGTGATCATTTATGAACCATGCAGTTTTCACAGGTCCGAAACTAACCTCCAATGGTTGGACCATTTTGAATCATTTTTTTTTTTAACTTTTAAGCAATAACATTTTTTATTTAATTTAAAAATGTTAATGTCAACTTCCTTTTGTATTGTTATAATAAAATTTTAAATGCGTTATTTGTTTAATTTATTAGCATTATATAAATTAAATTGTTGAGAAAATTGAAAACTCATTTTCTTAAAGAAAACAAATAAGGTAAATAATATATATATATATATATATAAACAATGAGAAAATTAAAACTTCATATGTTATAATTGAACTATGAACTAGCTAGGAATGATATTGTGGATAATTTTAATGTTATATATATATATGTATATGTATATGTATATTTACGTATAAATATTTTTTTATTTAATTATTGTGACACCAATTCAATCGTCTAACCTGTTAAAAAAATGAGAAATGTGGTCAGCTCACCTTTTCAACTTGTTCTATACTATTCTTTTCTCCAACGCAAGTCGAATTGAAAAGCAGTGTGACTTTGGATTTTTTATATTTATTTAATCACTTCATCCTCGCACATATATATAAAAGGAAACAGTGGCAATGTAATTTTTTTTAATTCATGCGAGAGAAAATTTCTATATTCACAAAAGATTTTTTTTCTCTTTATTTTTATTGAAGATTTATTGTATATGACTTTTGTTTTGTGATGTTAACCATTTGAATTAGGGGGAGTGATATTAAAGGACTAAAAATTAGATAAACTTAAACAAGGACAAATAAAATATTTGGAAATCCAAAATAAGGGCAAAAATTATTTAGTAAATTAGTCTAAAAATTTACTACATCCTATGATTTGCAACCATCAAAACAAGAGTCTGTAAGTGAAATTCATTAATTTGTAAAGAAAAAAATTGCCAAACATACTTTTGCTTTCAGTGACTCGTTACTCATATACCTTTATTATTTGTAATATTTAAAACACGAATTTGCAAATAATATTCATTAATTTGTAAAGAAAAATGATTTTCAAGTAATAACGTATTTTTCAAGTTTTTCTTTGTTGATGAGAAGGATAATCGTTATTGATGAGAAGGTTTTTCAATTTTTTTTTTTACAAATTAGCAAATCTCAATTACAAATTTTTGTTTTGAGAATTACAAATAATTGAATGAGAGTAAGAAATTTTTAGACCAATTCCAAAAGACATTTGAATCTTTTAAGCTTCATTTAAGTTTAATTTAATCTTTCATTCCTTTAATGTCATTTTCCCTTTAAATGACTATGACTAATCATAATATTTTAATTAACAATAAAAATTTAAAAACAAAAAAATTCTATGAAGAAATGAAAAAAAATGTTACTATAAATACTTAATTTTATCACTCATATTTTTTAACGTTATAATTTAATTTGATCTTCTTGATGGTATAAAAAACAAAAGATTGTGTCTTGGATTTGTTACTACCTGTAATGAAAACACCATTGTAACAATCTTGAGAGTATCAAATTATAACCTCAAGGAATACAAATTGTAATTTTAAAAGGTGTCGATTGCAATTTTTCCTTTACGACGTGAAAGAGAGATTTACTTTTTTAAAAAAATTAAAAATAATCTCTATTATCTATTTTATACAAGTTATTAAAAATTAAACTGATCATAACATTGATTTAAGAGTTAATAATTAAAATTATAATTAAATTATAATTAAATAGGTCACAAACAAAATATCTTATTAAACTAGTAAAGGCATTAGTTTAGCGATTTGTCAGTTGGATTGAGTGAGCTCAACCACATATCCATGTTGTGATTTTATAAACTCTAGGGTCTTAAAGTGCCATTTTTCAAATTTGTGTGTAGTCATTTTACCTCTTAAAAAAATTTAAATATTTTTAATGATAACATTATCTAGTTGCTTCAAGTCACTTGTCATTTGATCCTTGTCTAGATAATCAATATATAATACAAAAATAAATGATACACTTAGTAAGATTAGGTTGATTAGAAATGAATGAATTAAAATAATGTCAAATGGGCTAGATAAGTGCAAATTATTTAAATTTCTAAGGAATTAGTGATACCATCAAATAAAGGAAGAATGACGCAAGGAAATAAAAGAGGCTGGCTGTCGTGGAATAAAATCTAATTTTCCAAATTTTCCTGAAGTTATAAAATAAGTTAACTATTTTGCCTCTTCATAATCTAACATATTTTAATTTTTAAATTTTTATTCAATATACTCCTTCCATTTTTTATTATTAGAGAAAGTATCACCTTTTATTTATTTTTTTATATAAGTAAAATTATCTATTTTAATAAATATTTATTACACATTTTTAAATTACCCTTTTTAATTTATATTAATAAGAAATAATTAATGCATGTATATGTTGATTAATATAGAGTATTATAATTCAATTTTTTTATTTTTAAATATAATTATTATAATTAATTGATTTTTTAAATTATATGATATAATTTTTTTTATATATAAAAATGAAGAGAGAATATAGTTAGACTTGCTGTCTCTTGCATCTCATTCAATCGTGTAGACTTAACCCCATCAGCAGTGTAAATATTTAGATTTATTGTATCTGTTCTTGCTTTTTTCTATTGTATGGATTTTTGTTTCATCTGTGGGCTTAGCCCACTAATTTATTGGGCTTTGTTTTAGTCATTTTTTGTCAATACAAGTGGATCTTTATTAAAAGATTCCAATAAACTGTTTTTTCTTTTTGTTTATCAAACAGGTTTGACTAAAGAGCCACTCTTCCATGAAAAAAAGTCTCCCTCCTTCTCCCTATTTCCTCCGGTCTAAGATATATGCAATTTTTTCTTGCTAATCTTAATTAAAAATATAAATATTGTGAAATTTTTTTTAATTTTATCCCTTGTATTTATTAACTTAAATTTTCATGTCTATTAATTTATGATTTTCTTTTTATTCATTGTAAGTTGAAAAATAACAATTTTATTGCTATACGAATTATTATTAAAAGCCGTTTATATTTGGAACCATTAGTTATACAAGTTCAGAGGTTATAAAACAATAAGGTTTATACTTCTCATAGAGAGAAAGACAAGATTGTATAGAAGGTAATTCTTTCTTTCACTTTCTTAAAAAACTAGTGCTTCTTAAAACAGTGAATCTTGATGCATTATACAACATCTTTTATAATTAACTTAGAATGGTTTATTGTTGTGAGCAGTAGGAATTATATTCCTTAAACGAGTAATTGAGATTTTAATTTCTAATACTTTAATTAAGGTTATAAATAAGAGTTGTGATTTTCATATATTCAACACATGCACAGATATTCACAAGAATATTTTCTCATGGCATCCACAAGTTTTATAATTTTACCAAATGAAGGATTTAGTTCGACTTACTGAAATTTACCACTCATAGCCAATGGCCTTATAGTCTAATGGCATATAAATGTTTCTGTAAGTTAGAGATCATGAATTTAATCCTACACATAATCCAAACTTTTAATGTTTGCCCCTCTAATTTAAAAAAAATGGTATCACTGAACTGGATTGGAGAATTTTTGTACAAAGACAGTCCACCAACAATGTTATCTATGATTCCATAATTTTGGGCTTCGGCCCACTTCATCACAAAAAAAAAATTATTTATTCTGAACAAATCAACAATATGCTCTATTCTACACTCACTACAAACACACATGATGCACTTGTATAAAAGCTAAGGGCTTGTGTAAAAACTGTTTTAAAAACAGTTTTCTATTCTTCAGAAAATAAAAAAATTTATTTAATAACGTATTTTTAAAAAGTATTTTAAAAAATAAAAAGATAAAATATTATTTTGAAGAACAGAAAAATTAAAATAATTTTTAAATGTTCTGTGATTATTGCTTTGAAGAATAAAAAAATAAAAAAAATTTATTTTTATTATTTTTATTTTTCAAAACATATTTTATGGAACATCAATTCTCAAAATAATAAAATAAAAATAGCTTTAAACAATGTCTAGAACTTTGACGTAACAGATCATAATAAAGGATTTAGTTTCCCCCAACAAAACAAAAATTAATATAATAAAAAGAAGGAAGACTACAGTTAGGTTCCAGATAATAAAATTAAATATTTTCTTCGTTTATGTACATGTCAAATTTTATACACAAGAATGAATGGAATCTGTGGGTAATTAATTTTGTTATATAGGGCTTATATGTATTTCTCCCTGAAAAATCAAGCTGGGAAAATCTTCTCAATTGAGGATAAAATTGTTTCATATCCAGATTAGTTCATAGATGTTTGTTAACAAAGAAAAATTATCTATTATTATGAATATTAAATAATATCTATTAAATTAAAATTAAATTAAAATCTATAAAAGGTCAAAATGACTATTGTAACTTACAACCAAAACTCACCATGAAAGGACATGTCTATGATTTAGTAGTCTTTTGTAGAGAAATTTACTGCATTTTTATATTTTTCAAATATTTATTTTCATTATCATAGTCATATATTATAAAAGATTTAAACACTTAATATATTTTTATTCAATAAAATTAAAATATATACTTTAAAGTTTTAATAATATTAATAGTAAAAATTTATCATAAAATAAATTCTTTGAATATATAAAATTAATTATACAATTTATTTTTTTTTCTTTTGATTTGATTTGGTAACATTCTTGGTTCCGATTCCCACCAAATGCCTCTGGGTGAGAACCCTCAATGCTCTAGCTAGCCCTTTCAAGGGTTTATAACACACGCTTCGTCCGTTGTTGATAGTCTGTCACTGCTTCAGTGCTTCCTTAGATTCCTCGAATCGGCCTCAATGGGAAGCACAGCCGTGGAGAAGACGGAGGACGAGCTCCGTAAAGAGATCGATGAGCTTCAACGCCAGCAGCGAGAGGTTATTTCTCTTCATTTCTCTATATCTCTCTGTATGGTCAATTCTGGGCTTGTTGTTATCTACTGTTTGCGATTTTTGCAGATTACAGAGCGGCTTCGAGATCCTCGAGGGATTCGCCGAGGTGGGTTAGCAGGTGCTGGCCCCCGCAACCTCGCCGCTAATGGGGTTCGGCAGCGAGGCTTTGTTCGACCTGTATGGAATCTCTCATTCATTTGTTCTTTTCCCTCTCTCCGCTGTCTAGGGTTCTATGAACATGGTTCCAATTCCTTGTTCGTGGATTTTAGCTTTGTTTCCTTGGCCGTGCAAAATTTGTCAGCCCTTTTGGTGGAAAAACTTTTGGAATGATAACAACGCTAGACTTGATGATTGGAAAGTGGACTTTAGGATATTAATTACTTCATTATATGTTTCAGAGTGACCGGAATGAATCAGAAGATCAACCTCCTGCAAAGCGCCGACTTTCGTCAGCCGTTGTTAAGGTGAACCTATTCTTGTTATTTTATTTTAAAATTTGATACTGTAATTTAGTCTCTGTTCTTTATGTTATTAATTTGGTTTCTATCTGGCATATGTGCTGATAATTTAGTCAGAAGTCGATGGAGTATTGGTTGAGTCTTGAGTTTATGTGAATTATCTCTAATAACCAAAAAACAAAAGCGTCATTACCCATAAACACCCCAAGAAAGAAGCTGGAGATAGGAGCATAATCAAATGTCTTTGTTTGAAAATGAAGGTGGAAGATGGAGAGCTGCTTGAGGATGCTGATGCTGGACAGGAAGTTAAGACGGATTATTCAGCCAGCGATGATGTTAATGGGACCGATGAAGCCATTCAGGGTGATAGGAAGCCATCCAATTTCCAGAAAAGTGGGTGGTCTAGAAGAGATAGCAATCAAAGAACTTCAAAAACGGTAAATGCACATGTGTTTCCTTTCAAATGAGGGTTTATTTGGGGTTATGCATCTAATGCTGTGGACCTTTCCTTTTCCTTAAGGATTCTGAGATTCCTGCTGCAGAACCTGTTCCAAGGGTATTGCAAAAGGATGAGGATCCCCGATTGGTTAATAGAAATAAAAGAATGCTGGGTCAGCTCTTGGGGACTTTGGAGGTATGAAAGACCAATCGCTTGCTTACTTTCCAAATGCATTCATACTGCTATATCATGAGCTTGATTCGGAAGTTGATTTATGGCTGTCTTTCTGTCGTCTCTTTGCATTCGACACATACCTAGCTCATATGCACTTAATTGACCAACATCCAAGTGATATTTGTTGGAAATTGGTGGTCCCGGTTTGCGGATTTATTGAGTGTATTTTATCCATTTTCTAGTGTTTATATATGAGCGCAATTGCAATGATGCCTATTGCATCCAACACAATTTTCTGCATCATTCATCATTTTTATATTGTTGTTGTCTCTGTTTTTTGGTAGGTTTATCTGATCCTTTTATCATCAACATATTGACTAGGTTAATTCATATTGTTTTCCTTTTGCTTTTATCCTGAACTTCCCAGAAATTCAGAAAGGAAGACATGCAACTTTCAGGAACAGAAGCATACATGAGAAGATCTACCTCTCTACAAAGAGTAAGTCAAGTACATGCTTATTACTGTGTGTAGTTTCTCTCATTTAACTGGTTTAGAAGATGAAGCACTTATGTCCTCCTCTATCTTAAACCTATAGATACATTTTAAGATGAATTGAATCAATTCACTATCATAAGCTAAGGTAATGTAGTATTATGGACTATAGAACAATTGTTAATGGGTTTATGCCAGGTCCCTATGGTAATTATTATGATCACACAAGACTAGTGGTGAAGATTTCACTTGGGAGAATCACATCCAAGGACCACTAGAGCAAATTATTCACAGACAAGGATTAACAAGAAGTCCCATTCGAGAAAAAACAAGTCACGTTCCTATTTTAACAACAATCCATTCTGAATTGGTCCTTGTTTGTGAATAATTTCCTTAAGTGGTCCTTGGATGTGAATCTCCGATTTCACTTAAACAACTTGACCAATTTATTAATGGGTTTTGCTCGGATTCTCATAGAAATACCCACTTCTTATGTCTAATTATGCATTGGATATAAACATAAAGGAGTCCCACATTTCATTATTTGTCAGCGATGGCGAATGGACCATAATTCCATCTTTTCCGTAGTCATCCTGTTGCATTGATGGCCATGGCATTTCATGTTAGTGAGATAATATGTGCATGAGTTTGCTGAACAAGTTCACTTGTTATATTTCCTATGATTCTCATAATTGATGTAAATATGCATGGAATAATTATGCAGTACCATTGTCAAGTTGTTGACGCACCTTAATATCCAGTACCAAGCAGCTGAATCTCTCTTGCTCTTTGTCATCTCTCTCTCATGACAACATCTAGACATTTGTAACTATCTCAAATATTTTTAAACTTTTTTCCTAGGCTGAGCAAAGAGCACGTGAAGAAAGTGAAAGGCTTAGGAAAGAAGAGCGCGAACAGATTGCTGAAAAGCGACGGAGAGACTTGGTAGGCTTTCAAATAAAATTTTTTTGCTCTCCATGTTGAATTCATGAGCCGGCTGACAATACTTCTTAACATTGTGTTTCTGTTTGACCTATTTCCTGTCAGACTCTTAGAGCACGTGTGGCTGCTAAGACAGAAGAAAAGAAATTGGAGTTGCTGTTTCTTCGGTGGAGTGACCATCATAAAAGGCTATGCAATTTTATAAGGTCTGTACCTTCAAACTGTTGACTTGCAAGGCAGGAATCTTACAACAAATCTTCTGCATGTCACTTTAACAACTGGACACCTCTTACCTGACATTATGCTATTATCTATTTATCTGCAGGTTATTTTTAATTTTCGTCCAAAAGTGTCCATATTCACATTTTATTGAGACGAAGATAAGTTTCTTAAGTTTCTTTTCATGTGCATTGTAGTGTTGAAACAACTTGATGGCTATATTTTTCCTGCTAATCACAGGATTTTGGGTAGACATGGAAACTTTATCTCCTTCTTTTTTGACTTGTGTTTAAGGCATGTTTTCTATTTACTTTTCAGGACTAAGACAGAACCTCCAATTTATTATTTGCCCAACAAGCCCTTGGATGAAGATGAGGCATCCTCAGAGAAGCGCAAAGAAGAGGTTGGACGATTGAGAGTTTATGATTTTCAATTTTAATTTTATGCACACCCTTAAATGTTTTGGTCTTTAATCTTATACATGATGTTGTTAACTAATGAAAATCATCCCAAATTGGCCCGTTCATATTTTAAAAACTTGTACTGGGTCTAGTCCCAAGCCTACATGTAATCTATGGCTCAGCTTAAGTGTAGCACTGTACTAGAGATGCATGTAAGCAATGATTCAGAGCTATGCAACTTGGGAATTTATTCTTTACCTCTTAATTTACAGGCATTTCTTGAATGGAAGAACGCAAGAAGAGAGGAGCTATCTGAGTATCAGAAACAGATTGGGGAACAGTATATTGCTAATGTTGAGAAGGAGTTGGAGAGATGGCAGAATGCAAGAAAAACAAGAAAAGTAAATAATGACCAGGATTTACAGGAAACCATGGACAAAGAATTGGATACTCATAGGCTGGAGCATGGTCCCAAGAAGAGAAAGATTCCTGGGGGAGGCAACAACGAAGTGGACGATGATGATGTGGAGGATATAAATGTTGGAGAGGATGATATCATGGATGATGTCCTAGTTGATGATGATTCTGGTAGAAGGGTTGATGAAACAAGCAAGGCTGAAGCTGATAATTTCAGTGCAGATCCAGTGGCAGATGCTGGTAACGTGGACCAGAAGTGATGGGTCGGCAGATTCCAGAATTTGCAATGATTCCTTAAAAAAATATTGGGCTGATGTGGTTGTTTTGTTGGTTGTTTCTGGTGGGCCCTAGTGATATATATTTCTTTTTTATACCTTCATCCATTATTACCTCAGTAGCTTCTGTATTAGAGCGTAGTATCTATAAGTTGTTGTAATTTGGAGAATTAGAGCAATGCACAACATGCCTGTGGGTTTGTGCCCTTAATCAGCATTGATATTTCTAGCATATTGCCATTCCATCTGATCTTTTACAAGAATTTGTGGTTAAATTGTGTCAAGGGAAAGTTTCGGTCCCTCTGGCCCTGTATGGTATGAGGCATTGGGAGCCTGGAATTGTTTTTGGGATTGGCCAACTTTTGCATGTTTGGTCTGGGTGATTGATCAGTTCAATCCCTACCCCAATCTCATTTATGTGGGATTATTCAATACTAGCACTCCCTTGTATTGAAAAAACGATTCCAGGATTGATTTATTTAGACATAGATGCCCTTGCCTTCAACGTCTCTTGTTCTTCTAAATCTACCTTTGTCCTTCCTTCTTAGTGATGACGAGTCTCCCGCAATCGATGGTGTAGAGCCATAAACCAGACGAAGTGAGAGTGGAATGAGGAGGTGCGGGGTTGATCTATGAGTGGAGAAGGAGAGCCATTAACCCATTGACGGTAGTAAGTAGAAACCCTATTAACCAGACAAAAGTGAGGGGGAGTGGAAGGTGTGAATTTGTCAGTTCGATCTATGCAATGGAGGAGGGGAACCATTAACCTATCGACAGCAAAGAAAAAAGACTCATTGATGGCCATGTATTGTTAACCATCGACGTCCATTGATCGGTAGCCAGATTTGTCTCTGCCTTTGTCTTCTAGATCTTCGATGTATCTATCTTTGCCTTTGCCTTTCAAATCTTCAACATCACAACTACATATATCCAAAATGTTTCGCCGTGAATGAGTTTTAAGGGGCAGGGGTATTATGGTCTATCGAAATTATGATTGCATGTATTAAATAATTTTTGTTCAAGTATTCCCCTATGGCATGCCGTATGCCAAACATGATTTTTAAATTTTAATCTCAATCACAATCTCTTAAAACTTAATCTTCTATACCAAACAATGCCTTTGGGCTCGTTATATGCAAACCAAGTCTAGTGTTATCCTCCCACTTTGTGGTGATGAATTTAAAGTGATTTGGTTTTACAAAGAGATAAATAACACCAAAAATTTGATTCAATTGGTAAGAAAGTTATACATGTTTAATTAGAGATATTGATTTTGATTTCTGATAATACATTAGCATTGATAATAGAGTTTTTATTCGAAAGGGTCATATCTTAGCTTAATTTGAATTAGTTTGAATTTTGTTAAAATTCTCTTAGCTTGACGCGAGGCAGGTTTAAGATAGTGTTCTATGTTTAAAACAAATAATTTTTTGTTTGTTTTTGTTTGCTGGGTGGGAGTGGCGGGATTCCTTTTGTTTTCATAAATCTTGAGATGGCTTGCCAGTCAACTTGGTGCATGAGACAGCCATTTTGCGCTGGTCAGTGCTAGTGCATGTGCTTATGGGGCTAAACTCTATCTCAGAATACCAACATTTTTGAAATTAACTAAGACAAGGATAAAAATAAAAAAAAATATTTTTTAAAATTGTAAAATGTCTTGCATCTCCAACTAATAATACTTCATTTGGTCTCTATTATAAATCATTTTTAACCATTTTATTGGAATTAAGGAGAGAGAGTTAAATAATTAACATTGTCTGAAAATAATATAACTTTCAATTTTACCCCTATTTAAATAAAAATTAAATTGCATAACATTTTCTCTTATAGAGTCATAGTTAATAAGTTTAAATAAAAGTAATGTTTAAAAAATATAATTAATATTACATCGAGTGCTTTATATTAAAGATCAAATAATTATTCTAAAACGCGCCCTATGATAGAAATAGTATGGAGTAACTTTATTTTTATTTTTTTACTCAAGTTATTTCTACAGTTGACAATTATCAAACTAATCTCTCAAATGACACTTTTCCATACAAACTTTCAAAAATGGAGTTTTGAAATAATGCAATCCAAACCGTTATTGTTTCTGTCACATCCACTTGGTGGTTAGAGTAGCTTCTTAAGTATCGTATTTTATATTCAAAGGTTGGGCTAGCATCTTCCATTTCAATCAAATTATTTAATGGCTCGTTGGGCACGTTGTTGCTGTTGTCTTTTTTTGGGCTATAATATGAAGACCGATAATATAAAGCCTAAGACTTTAATACACCTAAATTTACTCATTTAAAAATATAATAAATTTACTTTAATACTCTCGTCACTCACAGAATAAATTTCAATCTTCTTGTTAAAAATTTGTTAAAATATACTTTTAATTCTTCAATTTTATACTAGAGTTTAATTTAATCCTTTCATTTTGTAAAGTATCTTTTCAATTTTTTAATATTAATACGGTTAGTTTTAAATAATTATTTTTATGCCAGTCATTGTTATTTAAAAAAAACTAAACTTAATATATTAACATCTAACAATGTTTTGTTATTATTTAAAAGTTTAATATAATATTTTTTTAAGATAAAATTAGTAATATTAGGATTAAAAGACTTAAAAGGCACTTTATAAATTTGAAGGGTCAAAATAAAAATTTATATAAAATTAAAAATTAAAACTATACTTAAAAAAGAAAAGGTGGTTAGCGGGAAAGCCACAGAATGGAGAGAGAGCATAATAATCGCAGATCATTTAGTGTAATTAAGTTTAACTCATTAGTGTAATTAACTTTTAGCGGGTCAAGCAAGCAAGAATGGCCGTCACACCCGATGACCACCTTCGTTTTATCATTGCTCGGGAAATTACTCTGGAATCTCATAAAAAAATTAAACATATAAAAAAGTCTTATAAATTTTTCTTTTTTTATTTCTCAAGATATTGTCACAGACAACCGTAAAACTAAAGCACCATCAAGAGACTATCTTCTCCTAGCTAATACTTTTTATACACACTTTTAAAAATTAAATTCACAAATTATATTTAAGGGGTCCGGATCATTATCATTCATGTCACACTTACTTAATAAAGTTTTATAAAATTATTCTTCAAATCTTATATTGTTTATTTAAGTTACCAATTACTATCAAATACCCTTTTCAATAGAAAATATAAAGCATCTTTTTAAGGTTAGATATTAAAAAATATAATATATTTTTAATTTTTTAATGTATAATTATTACTTTTTTTTAAAACTACCTTTAATAAATAAATAAATAAATCTTTTACTTTTATGTGAGATACCTTATTAAATAAAAGAAAAAAATAATTAACTAACTTATAAAAAAAATAGTTAACTAACTTATAATTAACTTTTTGAAACATTAACTGTAAATTTATAAAAAGTTAGTTATGAATGAATATTCACAAACATAAAAAAATCTTTAAATTATTGATTAACAATTGAGATTATTTATATTTATAAACTCATAAGATTATCAATTAATTTATAATTTATAATTGAATTTGAATAAATTCAATCGTAGCCTTCTTAAAATTCATTAAACTATCTATTTACATTTAATTTTTAATAAATTTATAACTAATATTACTTAAATTTATAAGTTACATTTCATTAATTATTTTAATAATTAATTATTTTTAATTTCTAATAAAGATGATGATCTTTCATGATATTTTGAATAATTTGGTGTTTTCAATTATAATAAATGCCTTGATAAGATGTGTAATTAATTGTCATTTTCGCTTGAATCAATTTTTATTAATGGAAATCCAAGCACACTCTTAATAGTGATTTTCTCATATCTGTTCTCACTCGTCTTCCCAGTCTCTCCGACCCCACACTCCGCCAGTCCCTCTCAGTCCCGCTCACGCACTCTCTCTCCCCCCCTCTGAGACTGCAAATACACTGTAATGGTAGATTCGAAGTAGTTAGCCTTAGCCCAGACATTGATTAGAGAGAGAGAGAGAGAAAGAGCGAGACCAAGCGGAAGAGCGAGAGGTGGTAGAGGAAGAGAGAGGAACAGCTCCAAAAATGACTACAAACTCAGACCAAAGAGCTTCTTCTTCAGGTAATCACCGCTACTATTATCCCACGCCGTCGTATCGCTCCTCCTCCTCTTCCGCCTCCTTCAGAGGCTGCTGCTGCTGCCTCTTCCTTCTCTTCTCCTTCCTTGCTCTCCTCGTCCTCGCCGTCGTTCTCGTCATCATCCTCGCCGTCAAGCCCAAGAAGCCCCAGTTCGAGCTTCAACAGGTCGCCGTCCAATCCATGGGCATCACAACTAACCCTCCCTCCTTCGCCACCGCCAACGTCGGCTCCGCCGCCGCCGCCGCCACAAGTGCCTCACTCTCTCTCACCATTATGCTGCTCTTCACCGCCGTGAACCCTAACAAGGTGGGGATCAAGTACGGCGAGTCCAGGTTCACAGTGATGTACAGGGGAATCCCGCTGGGCAAAGCTTCTGTGCCTGGATTCTACCAGGAAGCGCACAGTGTGAGGCAAGTACAGGCCACAATCGCCGTCGATCGGGTCAATCTTCTTCAGGCCGACGCTGCCGATTTAATCCGAGACGCTTCGGTCAATGACCGGGTGGAGTTACGGATATTTGGCGATGTCGGAGCTAAGATCCGGATCATGAACTTCGATTCTCCTGGTGTTCAGGTTCTTTTTCTTTCTCCCTCTCGTCTTTCATATTCAAGCATTCAAAATGTGATATGATTCACTGAGTTTTTCCTGGGCATTTCGGTTTCCTTCCAATTTACTCTATCTTCCTGGAATATTGGCATTTTTAGAATTGAACTTGCCTGATTAAGCTTCTTCTCACATCCTGCTTGCAAATCAAGCATATCATTCTCGTGGATTTCTTGTGGATTCTAGCTATTGTCTGCATCTAAATCTGCGAATTCCGCTACCTTCCATGAACAAAATCGGAGAACAAAGAGTGCATAAAATACAATTAATATATCAATATGTTCTATTTAAACGAAAAATAATGCTAGCATCCACAACATTGCCTTCTTCCATTGAAAATCTTCCTACCTTCATATTGTTTCAGAAAAATTATACGCAAAGATTCATATGTAAAATTATAATTGTAATGAATTTATAATGACTATCACTATTTAAAATATGGTAATTTTAATCTTTGACATTAAATTAATCATAATTTTTAACATTTTCAATTTAAATGATTTTTTGAAATTCAGATTAGAATACAATTTTTCCAAACGTTTTCCCTTTAAATAATTAAATAATTTGCGGATAAAAAGTTGTACAGAAAGGCTCTCTGTAAAGAATAATAGAATGGAAAGAGTGCTTGATTTTTACGCGCTCTCATGCATTTTTCTATTATAGCATGGAGCGACATTCCAATTTCCAGGAGCCTCGTTTCTATGCTTTGATATTTTCTAAGCCTTGTTCTGCGGACTTTACCCTTTTTCAGTTGTATTTCTACGGTGAAACAATTAAAAAAAGAATCCAGATATTAACATTTTGATGTCTGGAATAATTAAATTAAGATCGGTCTTGAACTCTGGTTTGACTGTTTGAGATCAGTTTTGTGGCTTTTATAAAGTTGTTTACCGTTTTGAGAGAAATGAAAAATAAATCTTTTACATTATAAAGTAAAATTGGAGCTTATGTGAAAACTACTGTGGGTGTTCTGAACAACAAAATAATTAATTGAAATCAAATAAACAATATTGACATTAGCATGGCATACAAGTTAAAATTTTCGTCTGTCATATTATTGACAATTTCGAAGGTCCCAAAAGTTTCTATGGGTGCTTGTTTTAAAACATAGATCATGTCAAAATGTCACAGGAAAAGTATTATTAGAAAGCGACTTAACAAATTAAAAAGTATTAGAAGGAAAAGTTGTATTATTCCCAAACTAAGCTTTATCTACTCATCCGAGAAGGGGGAAACAGCTTTAACTATTTAAAGTGTCCTAGAATATGTCTATTTTAAATCATTTAAATTAAATGCAACCAAGAATGTCTAGGAAGACGATAGGAAGATCATGCTAATAGTGTAAACACAAAAACAAAAGAAAGACATGAATTTTAGTCATTATTGGTTGGCCTATGTTTAATGTCCTTGAACAATCTCACTCCATAAACAGCTAAGAGGCTCTGGGATGGAATGGAATGATGGTGCAGACCTAGAAAGAAAATGACAAACCGTTTGGACCCACCTAGTGCCCGTAGCTGGATTCAATAACCTAGTGAATGATAGATCAAAAGTAAAATCTACTCCATGGAATCCACTCTTATGTCAATATTATTTTTATTTTAATTTCTTTACTCTAACCTTTGTTTATCGGGTTGAGTCATTAGTTAGTTTTTTTAAACTTTGCAATGTTTTCATTTCCTTTTTGTCTATTTCTTTTAACTTTTCATTTTTTTTTTGCATATTGCAATCACTTTAATATTTTACCACCCCCATTATCATGTGAAAAATTGTAAGCTAGAACAATTAACCTAAAGAAAGACTTTGTCAAATAATGCTGCTATCTCTTTTATTGTTTTGGGCTTAGGCCTACAAAAAGTCTTCACCATGTGATTTTCCCGCTTGTGGGGCACATGGGTCATCCTCCTGTCCTGTGTCCTTATCTTATTGATAGTGATCTCCTTTCGTCTCAATCCAGAAATATATATATATATATATATATATATTTATTTAAAGATTCATTCATATCTTCAGAACTGTAAGTTGAAAGTTGTTAAAAATCATAATTATTTTTGAAGTTTAAAACCATTACCAAAAGTTCACCGAGTTTTAGAAATTTTTTTTCCTAGTTTTATGGAATAAAAAATTACTCACAATGATGATCAATATAAATAAATATACATAGTACAATTCATAGTGAATCGTACTATTCCTAATCTACACATAATACAACTTATTTCGTCCATTTCATATAATAAATGTGGAAATGTATTTATTTTGCTTAAATATTACAGTAATCTCATTAGATTTAGTAGCATTTTGTATACTTAAATATAGCTGTAACTATATTTGCTTAGATTTCTTAACATAGATTTATAAACATCCAGTTCCTTGTGTAAGTTTCCCCTCAATAACACTCCGTTTCTCCCTTTTTTGATACCCTCCTGTTTCTTTTAATTGCTCTATTCCTTCACAATTTTTTTCTTTATGTTTAAGTTCACTTTTTTAAGTTTTTATCAAAGGATATAATTTCTTAAGTTTTTAAGTAGATAAAAATGACCAAAAATAGATCAATAAGTCTTCAAAAATTCAATGTATGATCGGTGATATTATTACAATAACACTGATCGATTAGCTGTGTTGCAACAACAGATGAATGATCATATGAACTCAACTGTGTTGCAGGTATCTGTGAACTGTGCTATAGTGATAAGTCCAAGGAAGCAATCTCTGACTAACAAGCAGTGTGGTTTTGATGGACTCAGCGTTTGATGAGTGGCCATCATTTTCCTTTCTTCTTTTCTCTGTTCACTCACATTCTCACTTGCACTCTGATGGCTTTAATTAATTGGAGGAAAAAGAGATCAGAAGAAAACACAGATTATAATTTTGGATGAGGGGGTTTGGAGCGATTCACCGGAAATTCTTGAACTGCAAATTGTAACGAGGAAGATTTTAGATCACATTAAATTAGGATTTTTCAAAACACTGTAATTTTTTCTCCCCAATTGGTTATTAGCCGGGAAAACAAAAATCTAATGGTATATTGGAAAATGTGAAATTGAATCTGTGGACTCACTTTTGAAATTCTTATGTGCACTTCTGGCATATTTGAGATAAAGCTTGAGGGGAGAAGAGAACGTTTAACTTAAAATACTTGATGAATCTTTTACAATTATTTCTGCTTCAGGAAATTTTTGCCAGTTAAATTGTTGAATTTATGTAGGAACCCACATGGAAATTTCTTGTACTTTAGAAAAGGTGAGAGGAACTTTCTTAATGTCATTGTTGATCTCACGCAGGATATAATATGGATTTTTCTTTATTTTTTGGCCACAAAAGTAAAGATCTCATTCGGAAAAGGCTAGTTTTCCTTTTTCTTTTTGTTTCCTTTCCATTTTCTAAAGAGGTGGATTTATTCGAAACTAGTATCATATTATAGAGATTTCAGCTAGAGACAGTATATAAATTGGCTTGGCTTTCAATCAAATCAAATAATTATTGTAGTAATGATACTTGAAAATTTTTTGAGACATAATTACAATCAGATTCTAAGTAAGAAAATTAATTATTTTTTCAATCTATTTATAAGGCAAACTTTTATATTTACACGTTAATTTAGATTTGAAAGTAACTGATTTTTTTATTTGAGTTATTTGTAATTTTTCCATTCTTTTAATGAGTATATACAAAAAAAAGTGAGTATAACATTTATTGAAAAAAATAATAAAAAATTGATTGAAATGTTTTGAGAAAAGTGGAATAAATAATCTTTTGTTTGGTTACGAGGAATAGGAAAAAATTAAAAAAATAATTATAAAAATTGTGAAAATAATCTTTTAATTAGCAATATTTTTAAAAACTTAGTTAATGACATAGCATAATAATATTATATAATTCAGTTAATGACATAGCATAATAATATTATATAATTCATGTAATTCAAATAACATTTTGATATTTGTCGATCAACGAAATAGTTAATCCGCTCACCTTCGTTAAAAACCATCGCATTGCATGCTATTTCCTTTCCTTTTAAAGCTCAGTTCAGTCTTTAGTTCTTTTGAACATGTCATATTTTTCTATAATTTATAGTAGCGAAATAATTGGTATTAAGATTATTTGGAAATCAATTTTTTCTTGAATGAAGAAGTTGGTCGGAAACTGTTAGATATAGTACTTGGGGCTTTATATTGGGTTGACTCCACTCAACAAAACCTATTATATATACAGCATCGGGGTGAAATAGTTAAAAATAAAGCATCCTCATGTGACATGTTCTTGTTTAAAAGGGGGGCAAAAAGAGAAAAAAAACCCAATAATATACGAGAGAAGTCTTAAAAGTTTTTATATGAAACAGGATAGACAGCGTATATAAATTAGAAAGGATTGGAAAGAGGATTAAAGTTTTTAAAGGTGACAACTTTTTTAACAGTCATATATGAGAGAGGAGTCTTGTATCCACACTGAAGCGTAATTGAGGGTTATGGCAAATAATTATGGTCTGACTATTCAATATTCATTATATAAGGGAGCACAGATGATTCATGAATCATGTAAATTGCACCACTTCCATTGTAACTTTTGTTGACATGTATTGTTGAAAAGTTCACTACGACACTCTTTTCCCTCTCGTGTGTTTGTATATTAGTGACAAAATATTGAGGGCGAAAAAGTTCAAGATAATTTTCATTCTTAGGTTAAATGAGTATATATATATATATATATATAAAAGAGAGGAGAATAGTGCAAGTAAATGCTAATATATCAACTCCTAATTATCACATCCTACTCATCCCTAATAATGTTTAAGATAATCACATTCTATTTGGTCAAAAAAAAAAAGAGATAATCACATCCTAGTCATCACTGTCGGAGAAATGGAGTCGCCATGGACTGAAAGCGACGCAAGGCAGGCTTACACGCGGCAGACTGACCAACGCCGAAGGCGTGGACGGAGAAACGTGAGAAGGAAGATGCGGAGATCCTTAGACATATATGAAATGGAATAAAGATGGACCAAGCTATTCCATTAACATCGTTACGGTCGGCTATATTGAACATGGAGTAATAAGTGAATTACACGTTGGACCAATTTGTGAACTGAGTGAGCTCTCCTAACAACATAAGAGAAGGAATGATCCTCAACTTCAAAAGAACGATAATTTATTTGTTTCGGCTCTCCCTACTATTGTGAGACGAGATGAGTCCCCATTCTTTGTATTGTCATCCCTCTAATTAATTAAGCATGGTCCGGGTTAGTTCTGTCCAAACTTTCTAGTAGTGATAGAAGTTTCAGGTCATTGAGGGTTGAGAGAGAGAGAGAGAGAGGAAGGCCTCCTGTGACGTGAATGAGTGACTGAATGGAGAAGAAGATTGAATGAACCTCAGGTGGCTCCCCGCTATGCTTAAACTAAAAACATTAGTTCCAATTTAAGGGTAGGTGGAATTGCCCCAGGTTTAATTATTCTGGATTAAAAACTATTATACAAGTTCAAGGTTTAAATCTCCTTATTTGAGCTTATAATTTAGGGCTCAAATTATTATTTAACCCTTTTTGTTCTCTATGTTAATTCATTGGTTATTTCATTCCTCTTCCATAGCATGCAGTCATACATATATGCTAATTAATCAACCTTAAAAATTTTGGATGATTAGCTTTGTCTTTCTATATACCAAAACTAAAAGAGGTATTTGTAAGATATATCGCGCCAAAAAGAAATCAATAGTAAAAACCCAAAGAAACAAATATCTTCTACCATTAATCAATGAGAATTGGTATTTGAAGCTGTTTGGGATTTCAGGTAAAAATTAAGCTCGGATATATCCATCATCACACACACACACACACACACACACACACACCTCACCAGGAAGAAAGATCTGTTCTCTCTCACACACACACACACACATTTAGCATTAAAGCTTTTGACCTCACCAGGAAGAAAGATCTGCTCTCTTGTTATATTTATATTGATTCTTTCATTCATCTTCCTGTTGCTCTTACTTATAGCAGCAGTCACACACGCCCTAATCAAACCTTGAAAATTTTGGATAACTATATATAGCTTTGTCTTTCTATACACCAAAATAAAAGACATCAGTACCCCGCTAAGCTCCTCTCTCTCTCTCTCTCTCTCTCTCTCTCTCTCTCTCTCTCTCTCACACACACACACACACACACACACACGCCCCACCAAAAGAAGTCAATAGTAAAAAGAAACACACAGTACCAAAAAGAAATCAATAGTAAAAAGAAACGAATTACCCTTAATGGGATCTGATATTTGAAACTGCTGGAATTGCGGATAAAGCTTTTGGGTCGATCGTAACCAAAAGAAAAAACTATTAGCATACTGTCTGCACTATGCTTTCTGGTTTCAAACACAATGTGTTGTTGGGCCTAAGAACTGTGTTCATATACTGTGAGGGTGTGTATTGCATGTACATTGACTCTTCATTGTCGTTTATGCTATGTACCTTTCTACTTATAATTATGAGACCCACCTCACAGTTTTCTATTAATTATATTCTGCTTACACTCATCACATTTGAATTCACACACCACCATGACTATATCAAAAGTCATTCTTTCAGATCGTTAAATAATCAGACAGCGACATGCATGTTTCCTTTACTGGATACAATTAAAAACTCGTTAAGAGCATGAAATTCATATTTTATAAACTCAAAATTATTTTTATTTTCACTTTCATTTTTCATATCATTTTTTTATAATAATTTCATTTTACATTACAATATATATTTGAATTTTATACGTTGATAACAATCCTTTAAAGGTGAAGAAAAGAAAGGTAGGTGCGTGTGCCATTCATGAATCACAATCAACTCTTCTTCGTTACAAAAACGAATAACTTGATCCTTTGGTTTACTGAAATATTGAATTTGGGAATTTGAATTTATTATCTTGTGATTTATTCATGCATGCGTATTTACTATTGAGAGGTATTTCGAACATGAAGTTGGTAATTTTTCAAATATCATCTGAAACAAGCTAAGAGTGGATTAAATACTTCTAGTTTTTAAAACTAAATCAGTTCTCACGTGAACATAGATATGTCTCCAAATTTAAATACTAGTTACTGAGATACTTATAATTAAATTGTCTACGCTAACAAGATACTCAGATCAAGAGTGCATCATACTTGGTGGAGAGTTGAATTTCCAAATGTGACTGTACAAACAAAATTCCATTTTATTAATTACCCTTGTTTTGATTCGATTCTAGCCTAAGATTCATGCCTTAATTAATTAACTTTTTCTCCTTCAAAATAAGTTATAAATAATGGGGGACGATGAGACCCAGAAAAACTTTGTTAAGGATCGAATTCAAGGGAGACAGTTGCCCACCTCTATACCGAGTTTCCAGATCCTATAGTTCTTAAACAAAAACAAGTTCCAGTTTGCGGAATTCAAAGATTACGTACATATCAGACACAGTTTTAACTAGTTATAGTTTCACATTTAAAACAAGCCAAATCATATAGGTTTGATGAAAGTGGCTGGTTTCCACCAAAATTTTGGATTTTGATAGTTTTCGATATGAAACTGACTAGCACGCAATTGCTCTAAGTCAGTCTGATCACTTTTCCAGTTCAAACCAAGGAATTCTGAATACAAACAGCTCTAAATATTATGTCTAAAATGTCAGTTTGGAAGAGACATAAAAGAACGCGATATTCATAAAACTCACATCAAATATTCACATATTTGATCATTAACTGAGATGAAGGGCTGAGATTCTAGGCATTGGAAGCATGGCCGATACCCCAAATCTGAGAAATTTGAAGCATGTCGGCGTTTCCGATCAGTAACCGCGCAGTTGCGTCTCCTCCTTCATCTTCTTGCTCTTGTTCGATTCAACAACGGCGGACATCAACACAGTCTCGTCAGTAACCCTATACAACTCTACAATGGATCGGTACCTCTTTTTCCTTGTAGCTCCAATAAAATTGCTCCGATCATCGTCATCGCCGTCGCGTTCTTCATCCTCTTCTGCGCCTAATTCTCCTGCTTCTGCTTCCATTAACAATACTGCAGCTACCGAGGACGAAGACGTCAACGTC